TCGTTTCCCTATCTGAGATGGAATAAATATTCACAAATGTGGGTGCATCTACACACGGTAATTTAAATGCACATCAATCATAATTGGTGCAAAGTCTAAATAAAAGCACGCCCTCACTTGCTAATTCTTCTCGTTTCTGTCATGGCCTCACTACGCAGGGAACAGCATGTTGGCAGTCAACTCTCGATATTGTGAATTATTTCATACGTGCTGTGTTTAATGGGAAGTGCATTTGTATATTATCCATTAAGCGATAAAACCAAAACTGTATTCGCCGTAAGCTTGGCGTTTTGTTAATCTCCGAAAAGTAAGATCAATAACTATTTTATTTAATGATCAGACCCATATTCGTGGCACAATTGTGGTAATTTTTGTTGATTTCAGAGGGACTCCAAATTGTTATTGATCGAAATTGACAATGACCTTTTAAAATATTTATGTTCCTATCTTTACATTGACCTCTTGATAAAAGAATTAACACCTTCTCCCAGTGTTGTTATAATAGAGATGATATACATGTCGATTTTGTTTAGTATGTATGTAACAAATATACATAATGTACATATTATAATATATAATCGTTTGTAATGATAGTGTTGTTTTTATCACATAAAGTGTTGAAGGAAAGAATTTACCTTACTGTGAACTGTGATTTACAAGAAACGTTCGTTATTAAGCAAATTAACACAGATGTAAACTATTATTACAGTCAAGACCATGACTTGTTTACAAGGCAACCCATTTACATGGAAATTACACCACTCGTTAATTCACAAACATGGTTGTCGAACTTCTTAGTCAATCTCATTAAAACGTATTCATATTTCCTTCACTTTTTAACACCACCCTTGTTGAGGGAGCCTTATCCTTGGAGCATTTATACTACTTTAACAACTAATAAATATATTTCCTTTGATTTCCATTCTACACGCCAGAAAGGGGCAACATAGTTGCGTTGCGTCATTTGCAATTCAAAACCACAAAATACTGATAAACATTAAATTGATTGTGTCATTATTTTCAGATAGAACACGTATTGCGCATGATAACGGTTTACTTGCTAAACTAATACAAAATTTCGTATGTAAAAGTGAGGCAAAATAGTCATTGTAGTATACAAATTATCTACCGTGAAAAAGGGTGGTGACTAACATCAGGTCCCCTCCTTTATATTTGTATAAGACCCCTTGACACATTATACTCCCAGAACGCATAATGACAAATATGCTCGAATAAGTTCAAATTGGCGGAAAAGTGGATACTATAAACATTAACTAGGCATTCCCATAAGTGGAGTTGAAATGATGATCCCACTGCGAGAGCCTTTTTTTTTTTTTTTTTTTTTTTTTTTTTTTTTTTTTTTTACTACGAGCAAATATTCACTTAGCGTTACCACAACTAGTAGCGTGTTGTCTGTCTGAGTTTACCGAACAATACAATCACATTACTAAACCTGATGAGTGTTTGTCATATATAATAGTCCATCGAGTAATACAACCATATCGCTGAACCTGACTAAATAGGTATGTATTGTCTATGTTGCTTTGCCTAGCAATGCAAACATACTGTGGTGGATGCACATGTTGTATATATACCCCGGTGAATGGATTGGCAGGAAAGGAAACCAAAACATTTTTGAATTATTCCCGTTAATAATTAAAATTAGTCGACCATTAATGATTCAATTATGTTGAGATATCCGATGCTATAGGTTGTTGTTCAATTAATATCCTCGTTACCTAGTTTATATATTACACTCACAGTTATTTCATTCCTTGTATAGCGAACAAGTACCCAGGCTAATACTACATTGTTGAACAAATGTTGAAGACCACTCATTCATGGCGAGATCCTATATGATTGTATCATGATTTATATTTCGGCTTAATGGTGGTTGCCATGACATCTACTGATAAAGGTTAAATGATGAGGCCAGATGACAGGACTGGTTGGGATCCGTCGACACATTCTCATGAGCTTGCGATTTCAAGCTTATGCGGTACCTTGGTCGTAGTCCAAAACTAATTATGTATATTGATGTCAACTGTGGAATGTTATTGCAAGACCATTAGCGCCCATAAATATAAACTGACGTTGGCACTATGATAGTGTTTTCCTAATATAGTGACGATTAATCATTTGTACTATGATGTGTAAAACGTTCGTGTGATTGGCTGTTTGTTTAGAGGCAACGCCTCAAAGTCTTATACTCTATTGTAATTGGCTAATGGTTGACAAGTTAATAAAGTGATTTGAAGCTGTCTCGGGAAGAGAAGCACGAGTCAGTCGGAGAATCGAAGGTGACACGAACTGAGCTTCTGTGTGTTTTTTGTGAGTCCAACGTGGAGAACAATCGAAAGTGAAAGGTTTCGAAACATCAAAAATACCTATCACAATTGTCCCAGTGTCTACCAGTAATTGCCTTCAAAATATTTTCCCCTGCAAATATCCCACCGCCTTCTGGTCGATAAGTTGTAGTTTACATGGAAACAAGTTATTTTCACGATTTGAACCAACAATGTGGACTTAATATGTGATATGTTGTTGGATGCATTTATTAGTTCGAGGGCTATATTTCACAAATAACGATGACCTTTGTACAAACGTATACATACAACCATAGACCTTAAAGTCTACTAAGTATGATACAACACACTTATTAAAACTACGTGTACAACTCGTTAATTAAAAAAATAATTAAAGGTTTGCAGTAATTTAATTTGTCTTCAATCGTCTATTGTAAGGGATTGCATATGAGTAATCACATATATAAACACGCACGATTAACTTCACCACCAACACAAACAAGAAAAACGTATAATGCTGATATAATTTATTGGAACTATTAATTATATATTGATTAGAAATAATAGATGTATATAAGATCTATTACATCATCACTTATGTCGTCGCAATCCCGAATTTGTTGGTCAGGAATTCACTTTCTCACTTCTGCAATTACAGTATCCATCTGGATTCTCCTTACGCCACTTATCACCTGCATTCTGCAATTCCTGTGAAATGGGTTCGTAGCGACACGTGCCGGCTGCCAGTTTTTGATACGGAACTAGATTGCTGGGGTCGAATATGTCATGAAAAGAGCAAATGGGGTTCAACTGAGCCTCGTAGATGCAATCCAACAGTCTCACATTCTCGACGCACAGTACCGAGTATTTTGAGCGTACGCGAAGGACTGTGTCATGGACGCATTTTTCCCGAATGGTCGCCAAATGACACGGGCCTAGAGTCTCTGTAAAATAGAATATAGAAACAGTGTTATACAAGCGTTGGGCATATACAATTATTATCAGTGTAAACTGTCTTTCAGTATAAACAATGAGAGCAAATTGGTGGTTCTAACACCGCGATTACGTATTTACTTTGACTAATGCGCAGTAACCCACTTATTATGATAAATATCACTTGTCATATTTATTATCAACCATATTCACACTTACCATCAACGTCATTGCTGCATATCCCCCATTCATTGTAATACGAAAGTGCACGAGCCAGCTGATTTATATTTGCTACAATACCCTCGCCACCGGACGCGCCTTCGCAGTAAATCTTCTTAAGACAATCTAACTTGGTCTGAAACGTACAGTCATTTTAAAAGTTAGTTCAGACAAAGTAGGATTCGGTAAATTTATGGAAATTAATAAACGTTATTAATATTTTTTTGGATATAAACGTAAGATAACTCACGTTCATAAATCCGCAATATTGCCAGCCAGTGCCTTTGTTCCAATTGACGGGGTTGTTCATGAACTCGCTACCCACAGCATCACAATTGTTTTCCAGGTGTTCAGTACATAACTGAAATCAACAAATATTTTGTTTTTAATTGGGGTTAGTGTAATGTAGTGTAATGTAGTGTAGTGTATCGAAAGGAACACGTACATAAGGTCATCCATTTATAATACGCTTTCCATAGAATCGAAATTTAACTGTATTCGCAGATCGCTGACGCGTTTGAGATTTTGTTTTCAAAATATTATTGTCATTAGTTCATAGGAATATTGACTGGATTGTAATCCCTCAGTTTTCACGTATTCGTCTTCTTTTCAAATGTCGTCGTACATCATATTATTGTAAATGCGATGCAGTGATAGAGTCTTTTGTCACACAGACACATGTCTGACATGTCCACTCGGTGATTGTTTTGCCACGTATGTTTTGTTATAATGCGAACAGCCCATGTGGGATATATGTTTATTTAAAACACATCATTCGTTACAGGATTTTCAATTTTTTTTTATTTCATGACGTCTGTCTGTATATTTTGATTGTAGCGATGTGCGATATTCTTTAAATAAAGAAACGCTGTAAATTATTACGTATGTCCATTCATTTTACGGAAATTTAGATTGAAATGTTGGTTCTTTTCTGCATTAAAATGATCACGCGCGACATAGGGCTGTAAATTAGAATTATATAGATTATTCCTCCGATAAAACAATATTGGGTTATCAATTTTCTTGAAAAGTATTAATACTTACCGCGTTGGTAGAACATACTGCAATCACAAGTATTACAATTGATCGGCACAC